ATAATTACAATTATAATTATATCTATATTTATAACTAGTGTCATATGTATAATAATAATTATACCTATTATAATTATGTTTGTAATTATAATTATATTTTTTTTAATTATGATTATAATTATAATTATAATTATATTTAAATTATATATGTGTAATTACATTTATAATTATAGTAATTATAATTGTAATTATAATTTTAGAAATATTTAAATCAGATCAGATCAGAAAAATTCAGATCAGATCAGATCAGGAACATTCAGATCAGATCAGGAACATTCAGATCAGATCAGGAAGATTTAGATCAGATCAGAAAAATTCAGATCAGATGAGAAATATTCAGATCAGGTGAAGAGAACAGCTTCTAAATGCATTACTAAATCTTCATAAGGTGACAATATTGGCGTGTATGGATTATGGAAAGGATGGTGAACTTATAAATAAAGGGCGTGATTAAATTAGATTAAGTACTCATGGAATCGTAAGGCAAGCATACAAGGTCCTATGGTCTAGCGGTTAGGACATTGGACTCTGAATCCAGTAACCCGAGTTCAATTCTCGGTAGGACCTCTTTTTTATGGAACACTGTGTTACCATTTGATTGCATACGAATTGAGCACTAGGCACTTGATGTTTATTTTTTTCAATCACAGCCTCTTTGCAGATTCACCAAATAGGCTAATGCAATTCTTTGCAGATTCACCAAATAGGCCTTTTTATATATTTTGATATATTAATAATTAATTTGATATAACTCAATTTAAAGAAATTGCTTCGGATATATGTAAAAAAGAGTTTCTAAAAATGGACTAAATATGTTTTCCCAAAATATGGCGTATTTAGAAACAGGCTCATCTTATTTTGAGACAAAAACAATGACACTCCGATTTGAAGAAATGTGTCATGTTCTATTTCTATTTCGAGAATTTCTTTAATATTTACTCTTACTATGCGACGTCAATTTTGACATTCTAGTATTCCTATGTTAAAATAAAAACATCGTATCATCAAAAGAAAAATAAGTAAAAAGAGTATGCAGTTTCTTTTCTTTATATTAATATATGATAATTAGTTTCGTATAAGATAGATATTATCTTATCATCTTCAAATGTTGTCATAAAAGCAATTAGAATTTAGAACAATTACGTAAAGTTGTTCGAGATGAAAGGAATAAAGGGGTTGGGAAAATAGGCAAATAGCATATATTTATCTTGGACACCAACATCATCACATCACCATTTTGGTCTCTTATTTGATAATTGATCTTGTGATTTTTAGATACTCCATTTAGTTGTTGTTATATTGTTTAATTTTTGCGGTAATTAAATATTAATGTTGAACGGGCTAAATGTGCAATTACAAAAGCTAGAGAATAAGAAAAAAATTCAAACTTTACTAGACGTTGATCCTCAATGCAAGTCTTGACGGTGAATACGCGCTACAAGAAAAGTGAACTGTGAACATAGACCACACTTAGACCATTTTTTTTTTGCGATGGCCGCATAACTGTCGTTAAAAACCTCATTAACCACACTTTTTTTTGTTTACCACACACAAAACTGTGGTAAAAGGTCAGAGGCGACAGTTTTTAACCGTGACCAATGTATTTACCATGGCTGTTGTGGCGACGCATGCAAAACTGACGCAAAACTGTCGTAAATGACCCTCCTTATGTTTTTACGACAGTTTTGCAACAGTTTTACGTGCGTTGGCACAACAGCTGTGGTAAAAACATTGGCCACGGTTAAAAACTGTCGGCTCTAAGCTTTTACCACAGTTTTGTGCGTGGTAAATAAAAAAATGTGTGGTTAATGGTGTTTTTAACGACAGTTATGCTGCCATCGCAAAAAAAATTGTGGTCCATGTGCAGTCTATGTGCACTTTTCTTGTAGTGACGTGACAAGAGAGACTTAGATGCATTATATTAAATAATATAATTTCATTCTCTTCTATGCTCATGGTGTATGAGTTTTTAGTTACATTTTATTGATAATGTCGAACAAAATGACTTGTTCTTGACATTGTGGAAAGAAAACAGAAAGTAATCACATTAGCTAGTTTTTTTATGTATTTATGTATTTTCAACACTTTTATACTCCATTAGAGATAGCTCTATTTATTATGTAAATTATTTCTAAATTGCATAATCAGAATAAATATTTAGACAAAAGTAGGCACTCCTTAATACCTTTCAACTTATGTACTGCTTGAACCCTTGTTTTCTCTTTACTTTTTAAAACAATTTCACAAAACTCAGTTATGTTAACAATCCATTTAGATGACTAACATCCTTTCTCTTGAACTTTTAAGTTTATAGCCATCTTGGTTTTCTCTGCAAATTTTGAGAGAAGAAAACTTGTTAAAGTTTTAAGACTTTCAAATGAAATGTTTAGTCTGGCTACGTTTTTATTTTTGCGTAATTTCAAACTTAAAATGTTGCATTTGTAGCAATCCAAATACATTTGAGTAGTTTTTTTATCCCTAAGCTTTCGAACTTAACTGAAAATAAACCCAAGGGCTAAAGCCGTTGTTTTATAATTGAGGGATGAAAATAGTGATGAAGTGGTGCACATAACTATGGGGTGCTAGGCGCTATGGGATGAACGGAACAGAAGGGTGTGACAGGAAAGAGGTTGAAGGAAGGTCTTATTTTCTCACAGGCATGGTGTTTACTGTTTAGTTGAGAGTTGGGAGCAAGCTTGGAAAGGGGTTGTTCCGAGGGGAGAGCCTGGAGTAGGGTTGTAAACGAATCGAATAATTTTGATTTGATTCGTGATTCGAATTCAAAAATGCCGATTCAAATTCGAGTAAGTAGAATACGAATACGAATACAAATTTATTTTTTTATTCGAATACTTTACGAATACGAATACAAATACTATGATATTCGATTCGAATAATATTCGAATATATTCGAATTATATATGTGTGTGTGTATGTATGTATATATTCATACAATATATACTACTTCTTATAAATACATATAGCTCAATGTAAAAATATTAATAACAAAATATTCATGTAAATATTTTGCATATTTTAATTTAAACATTCTTACTTTACTAGGTCAAAATAGCTTAATTTACAATTAAAATTCTCCGTTGATTTATCTATATTGATATTAAATTTGAAGTGACTTCTATAAATGAATTTTGTTTCCTATAAAATATGTAATATGAAAATGAGTTAAAAGGGGCAAACTAACATCGTAATTTTAATTGTTTTCACAAATTAACTTTAATGTTTTTTGAATTCGATTATTCAAATTCGATTCGAAAAAGATTCGTATATATATCAAATGAATCGAATACGAATACAAAATAAGATTCGAATTTTAAACGAATACGAATACGAATATTCGATACTTATACGAATACGAATAATATTATCAAGTATTCGGTTCGATTCGATTCGTTTACAACCCTAGTCTGGAGTAGGCCAAGATAGGGGTGGCTGAAATTGAATACTCAATTACTCGATCATGCAGCTAGGTGTGGTGGGGACTTGTGTGGGTAGTCCGAGACTCTTTTGGAAGGTTTATTGCAGGAGTGGTGAAGCCTTGGAATGGAAATTGCTCACCTATGGAAAGAGGGTTAATTTGCACTCAAGAATCGAGAAGCCTTGAGCTGGTGCAAAGATCGAGGACGAGACTTTTTAGAGGTGGAGTCGGATGCACTTCGAGCGCCTTGGCGGAAATCCAGAAAGGAAGAAGTGACACGGAGGACATTAAAGACATTGAGACTAATTTTATTAGCATTGATTTTCTTATATTAGGCATTCGATGAATCAGGTTGCTCATTTGTTGTCTAGAGCGATCGGTTCCATGTCCAATTGCTGTTTGGTTTCTCATCCACATAGTTGTATTGTTTCTGCTTTGGATTATGACTTGATGAATGAAAGCTAAGTGTGTTTCTTATTGACATATATAATTGCCGGTTCTATATTGATTAATGGATGAACCATTCGATCAATTGTATAATTATATAAAAAAAAAGTCCTTAACTGTTTGTAGACGAGTGCTATGCATTGATTAATGGAAAAAGGTGCAAATAGACCCATGTACTAACCAAAAAAGGTCAAATAAGCCCTTATTTAGGAGGCTCTGTCCGGCCGTCGCCATTTGGGTTGGTTCCCGCTGGAATTTTTTGATGAAATATTTTGAGCATCTTATTCATTAAGTCTAGTTTACTCATACAAAATTTCAGCTAAAACTTCAATCGGGAAGGCATTCAAATGAATTCTTGAAAATAACTGCACACTTAGAAGCGCAGTTATCCTCAAGAATTCATTTGAATGTCTTCCCGATTGAAGTTTTAGCTGAAATTTGATATGAGTAAACTAGACTTGATGAATAAGATGCTCAAAAAATTTCATCAAAAAAATCCACCGGGAACCACCCCAAATGACAACGGCCGGAATAAACCTCCTAAATAAGGACTTATTTGACCTTTTTGGGTTAGTACATGGGCCTATTTGCACCTTTTCCCTTGATTAATTGATATACTCATACTTTACTATAATAATTGCATCAAGTCGATAACAATATTTAAATATCAATAAAGACGGGAAATCATGTGTTCGGAAGAATAAATTGAAGCTGAAAGCTAGTCTAAATTAGATATTGTTATCTAAAGTTGAATAAAAGTTGCTGAAAATGAAATGTCAACTGAATGAAGAAGTAAAATCATTTGGCTACACAACTCAAGTAACGATAACAACGTGTTAAAATTATAATAAAACATTATGTTTCAATAAAATAAGATAAATTTTGAATGAGAGAATGCTAAAAATGAAAGATGTCTCTTAAATAGTTGCAACATTATAAACTTTACACTATTCATATGCTCTAGTTTGACTATATATTATAATTGATCACATTAAAAAATTATTTTTAATAAAATATAATTAAATTCTTCACTTTAAGTTTTCAAAATGTGATTTTTTTGAAAATTTTAAATTAGAGAATTAAATATATTAATTGTCAAAGTTGTACGTTGGCAAATATGAAAATCGAAGTGTTGCAACTAATAAAGAATGGCGCTACACATGAATTAATTGTTTCAATTTATTAAATTTCAGCTCAAAATAAACTGAATGGTCATATAAAGTTATAAACACAGCTCCATTGAAGTAGTTAAATAATGAGAAGTTATACACCCACACAAAAATGGTATGTAAGTTACACTAATTGACTAATGGCATGTCGCATACCGGCCTTAAGCATTGATCTTAAACGATATAGACGAATGGTGGGTTGGGAGTTCGGGACCAAGCAATCTAGCACCACTGCAAAACCAAACACATGATAAGGTGGAGCACATTAGAAATACAATGTTAGGTTGATGTCTAGATGAGAACTAGGCTGGTCAGGTTGGGAACTTTTACACATTACGTTGTTTTTAAGAATCAGTAAGTCAGTTAGACATTTTCAAAAAAAAAAAAAAACAGAATCAGTTAGACTTTTTACCAAGTACAAGGAAGCACAATGATAAGACCCCTAAGCTTCAAGGGGGAAAAGAAGCTTCAGTTATAAATAAAGAACACCAAAATAATACTATCATTTATAGCACGTTCAGTAAGGGGTGAATTCAGCTGAAATTGCTGAAATTGTAGGTCATATAATCATGAAGTTGCTAAATACGAAGTAAGTATGTGTTACCGTAAAGAAGAAAATATCTGCAGCATATCCATTGCTAAAATGTGTAGTTTCAGCAACTTCAGCCAAAAAGTATGATCAACCCATTTCCTTTGTTTCATAATTAACAAATTCAATGTTTGTGTGTATATAGGGTGTAGTTTCAGTAATAATGATAATACTAGCATGAAATGAGAAATGTGTAAAAGGGTGCACTTTTAGTTCATGAATGAGCACAATTATACTTGGAGCAATTTATGTTGCAGAAAAATTGAGCCCATTAGTATAAATGTCACTGCATTTTTATTAGATTGTATGTATTGTTGGCATCTTTTGACCTCTTAGATCTCAAAATACAATGAACCAGATTCGTTCTAATTACTCGTATAAGATCATTTTCTGTTTTAATCTAATGTGTGTGTATTCACCATTATAATCTAATGAACCATTTGATGAGTATAAACATCTTCTGCCCATTATAAATACAGGCAAATCTCAACAGCCAACTTTTAGTTGGCTTTCCTTTCTAAGCTCTTCTTCAATTAGCTTATTTTTTATATCAGATTCTAATTGACTGAACGCACAGAGGGAATTAACTAGTTCCTTCTAAAATGAAACTGATACCATGATCTAAAAATCTCTTGAAAGAAAATAGAGTACACTGACAATAAAAAAGAAAACAAAAAAATCAGGAAATCCAGGACACCCACCTCTTATTATCTTCAGCAGATGGATGAATTCAAAAGTGGGTACAAATAAATGAAGAACCTGGAGAACTCATTTCGATTTCTTCCCTGGCTTCTTCTTAATCACTTCATCAATGTACATTATCCCTTTCCCTTTGTATACTTCTGGTGGTTTGCAGCTTCTGATGGCCGCATCAAATTGATTTGTCCTTTCCTTTTCAATCCCTGTGCAGCAGATCACGTTCGGTTTGAAGCAAAACACACGAACAGCCGGAGGAACAGTCAGCTCAACCTCATGGCTGTAACCCAATTTTAGGTATAACAAACGCCCCTCTGCTTCAGCTCTTGCTTTGAAACCAACTCCAACTATCTTTAGGAAGCGAAAGAACTTTGATTCCATTCCTACGAAATCATAAGGGGTCCCAAATCATAACCATGACCTCAAATACCAGCTCAATGCAATGCTGATATGTTTTTTTTCTTTCTTTTAGCATTAGCCATATAGCAAAAGTAGCATCTATGAATATATAAAAGCAAAAAAAAAAAATTGTACCATGTTCCCGTCTAAAGAACTTCGCGTGAATAAAAACACCTTATCTTAGAGAGAAAAACCGCAAATAATGTAAAACAGAAAGCCCCATTCTGTGCTAAGCTATGAAATCATTGATAACACAATACCAAAAGAGCAAAGGCACAAATGAGCACCTAGGAAAAACCTTTGGAATTTAAAAGTCTTACCAAACAACAAAAAAGCACGAAGCACTTCAAGTCAACATCTAAGGCAACACTGCCGGCTTGGCTTATTGGTTGGTCATTAAATTACAGCTTATTACAACTCCTTAACTTAGAAAAATATTCATCGTTCGACAGAAATAACAGATAAAGAACGAACCTCAACAACACCCTCTACGCTTGATCTATTCACTGCTGATAGGAAAAGATATATACTAACTAACAAAACTAGGTGCGATAAAATAAGAAGACAGTTAGTAATAATCGACTAACCTCGGTCGGGATATTAGACGAAGGGCATGGTGAAGGCTGCGTCCGACCTAAGGGGAAGAGGAGCTGGAAACGGAGAAATGAACAATGTAGCGTACGACCGAAGAGAAACGGTACTAACCGTACAACACAAGCGAAAGTTTCTTGGGCATGTGATTTTCTAATTGGACTGGATAGAACACTTTGGGCCAATAAATAATTTAAAGTGTAAATGGAAACTAATAATCCAACCTTTTAGCGGTCTTCTTTCAATAATCCCACCTTTTGATTATTCATGAATAATCCAACCTTTTCACCTCATCTTCATTCATTGGTCTCTGGTCGGTTAATGACCTACTATTCCAAGTTATTTTCTTATCTTTGCAAAATATCATCTTTGTGAAAGATGAAATTTATGATATAATGATTTGCAAAGATAAGAAAATAGTTTGAAATAGCAGGTCATCAACCGGTCAGGGACCAGTGAATGAAGATGAGGTGCAAAAGTTGGATTATCAATGAATAACCAAAAGGTTGGATTATTGTAAAAGACCGCTAAAAGGTTGGATTATTAGTTTCCATTTTCCCTAATTTAAATCATTTTATTTGACAGATTTAAGATTAGAAGTTCCATTTACAAATTACAATCCTCTTTTTCAAATAAGCCCCCTACTAATGCGAAAAAATCAATTAAGCCCCCGTACTCAATTATCATTCAATTAGAACCATGAACTCCTAAAAAAAATCAAATTGGATATTTAGCCGGTAAACTCCCGGTTGCCTGGTAAATTGCACGTGTGGCATCTGATGTGGCGTAGCCTTTAATTTTTCTTTTTCTTTTTTGGTAGATTCTATGGTACCCTTAAGGTACCACACCTTTGTACACATGGACCAATAGGAATGATGCAGTTGAATTAATTAAATCTAAATTAAAAGAAATAGAATGATTTGGACCAATCAAATGCATGGTAGGTACGGTACGCTAATTTTTAAAAGGGTACCGGAGTTGTCACCTTCTTTTTTTCCTTTCTTTTTTCTTTTTCTTTCTTCCCTCCTGGTTATTCGCTCGTCCTGTTCTCCGCTTCCCCCCGGTTCTTCACCCCACTACATCTTCTTTGCTTAGGTGATGGTACACCACTGCCTAAAGTCTTTGCCTAACGCTGCCAACTATCTGCGTCGCCCCTGGTTCCACAAAGACCCACTGTTATCTCTTATAATTTCTTTCTTTGTCTTCTTTTCCGTTATTTTGTATGGATCTAAAAGCTAAGAAATAATCCTAATTTACACTTTGAATTGTTTAGGCAAGAAGAAATTGGAGCTAATTAGTTTTGTTGTTGAATGGTTTGTGTGTGTGTGTGTTTGCTTGTGAATCGATATATATGAATATTTGTATGTTTGTGTGTGTGCAGCAGTGTAGGGAGGGGTATCAAACATGGGGGGTGGCGGTCCACAGGGGCGGATCTAGTTAGTAAAGATGGGGGGCACTTGCCCCCAATAAAGTCATATTAACACTCCTTAATCCATTAAGAAAAAATACAAGTCCACTCATTTGCCCCCAATTAGAAAATAGGAATGCCCCCAACAAATTTACAGTCCAATCTCTTCAATGTCTAAAGTAAAATTTTTTCTAACTTTAGTTTAGGCTATACGGAAGAGAAGTAATAGCAATTAAAAGATTAAAATCCATAAAGATAGAAGAATTATGTTGCACATTTGAGAAGTGAGAACATCAAGGTAACTACGCAGTAATAAATAGGCAGATTCGAGAACAACAAATAGATAAGTTGAGTAATTACGGTGTGTTATGAGTTGTTCATTTGTTCCTGCTAGATACTCCGTATTGTTTATCCTTAATAGAATAAATAAAGATTATAAGGTCGTTTGGTAATATTGTTTTTCAGCTTATCAGCCAACTTTTTTACCAGACACGTAACTTTTGTTTTCGCACGCTGAATTGTCTAATAATTAGAAATGTAAAGTTGGGGTTACTTTTCTGGCTGTATTGGCTGAAGTTATTGTAGACGACCATTTTAACTATTTTTACATACGGAGTATAATTTTTTCTTTATTTTATTAATAAAATATGTAGTATTTTAAAACTATTTTTTCTTAAATCAACTTAACAGACCAATGCAGGCATTTCAGCTAGAACTTCATATATTTCAGCCGAATCAGTCGAGTTTCGTGTTACCAAATGGACTCTATCACACATCCTAATTTATAAACATGTTAATACACTAGCTAGTCAGTCAGTAGGTTAAAATTAAGAATTTAACAATATAAAATTTTAAATTTACTATAGAACTATGTAAATAAAACTTTATCCAAATGTAAAATTAATTACATACTAATGTAATTAACACCTTTAATTTATTTAGGCTTAATAATGCTAAGATAGTTGGTAAAATCAGAACTACACGCTTTTATTGTTGGTTGTTTTATAGAGACAACACAAGATTTGAGATTTCTTAATAGTGTATTAGTTACGGAGTATTATTTAGAGGAATAGTGTATTAGTTAAAAAAATTAAAAACTTTAACTTTACATTTTTTATTAAATTTAATCGATAGTTTTTTTTAATAAAACACTAGTGTATTTTGCCACCAGTTAGTTCGAGTACAAATATATCTAATACCATTTGAATGCCCTAAGAAGTTATGTAGTAATATAGATGACTAATTTGAGCGATAGAAAGCGGTTTATTTCAAAGAGTCACTGCTCACAAATGAAACCGTAATAAATCACTTTTCAAAGATAAAAACTCAAGAAGAGTTGATCCTTTTTTTTTTGTTCTTTTATATTGTAATACGCTTTATTTAGTTTTAACAATTGGTGTATACTTTATAACAGTTTTTGTGTTTGATCTAATATGTTTTTTTTGTATTTGTATTTTCTGATGGCATTATTGTGACACTGCAAAAAAAATCACATGTTCGAATTTCATCCCAGAACAAAGATGTTGGCCTTAACATAAAAAAAAACACTATAATTTATAGGTTAGGAAGTTTTGTCAAAAATATAAAGTATTTTTGTGAACATATTTTGTGTATTACAATTTTGCCCCCAATAGTTTTTATTCCTGGATCCGCCACTGGTGGCGGATGAATTAGAAGGCAGGAAGAAGAAACAGATAAGAAAAAAGAATAACAAAAATAAAAGAAAAATTTGAGGGAGAGGTAGCAAAGATGGAGCCTGGAGGTAGAGAAGATGAAATATTACCGGCACCAGCAGGGTAAAAAGGACCTGATTGCATTATTTTCAATGAGTTGAGGGGTGTATATGCAATTCTTCAAGTTCAGGGGCCTGATTGCAGAATTGAAAATAGTTCGAGGGCTTATTTGCCTCTTTTCTCCATTTTATTTGACAATTTTAAGATTAGAAGTTCTATTTACAAATTACAATCCTCTTTTTCACTATTTTTTTTTTTTTGAAAATTCCTTTTATACACTTTCTTATACACATCAGTACACCTCCGTGTATGTGAGAGGTTTTTTTTGTCTGTGAATTCCTGTTCACAGACAAAATCTGGCTTGTTTTGTCTGTAGAATTTTCCACAGACAAAACAAGCTGGTTTTGTCTGTGAACAGGCATTCACAGACAAAAAAAACAATTCACACAGACACGGAGGTGCACTGGTGTGTATAAGAACGTGTACATCGAGAATTTTTACTTAGACTGCAATCTGTCCAGACTAGACTAGACCAGACTTGGATAGTTATAAAATACAAAGAGACCATACATTACTGGACCAGATCAGACCAATTCAGACCAAACCAGACCAGCAAATTACAGTCCAAGTGAATACATCCTAGATCAGACTTAAACAGGGCAGATCAGGCCAGACTAGACCAGTTCAGACTAGACTTTCATAGTTATAAAATACACAAAGACCAGACATTTATCAGACCAGACCAGCAAATTTCAGTTCAAGTAAGAACATCCTAAAAACACATTTCCATAACAAACGTGTTTTCGTCAGTCAATTCTCGGCGGAGGGACGCAGCATAGGGTTTCCGAAGACCTCCTACAGTTTTCTGCAAACTGTCTCGATACGCTTGTGGTGGCAAAGACGAATGAGAACAACGTCTTTGCTCTCTAACAAGCAAGTAAGCCTCTCTTCGTACTTGGCTCGTTCTCTCTCCTTACCTAGCTCGCCTGATTTATCTTTGTACTTGGTGTTTTATTTGTCTCTATTTTCTTTATTTTATGAAACTCCCTCATATTTTCTTTCACTTAACTTGAAGAGGTACTTGTTGAATTGATTTGGTAGAGGTTTATCTAAAATCTCTAAAATCTTATAAACATCAATGAAGGTTAGGGTATTTTTGATATATAAAATGTGTTGGTGTATCACAAAGCAACATACTCTTGTACAATATGGTATGATCATTGTACCATAAACTTTTACCCTTGATCAACTGCTATCTCCGTTAAAATTCACACATTTAGCATTTCAACCCCTTTATTGTGTTCTGTCGTCTCTTCCTTGGCCTCACTGTTTCCTTCTCTATGTATTCAATTTATCTTTTTTCATTGAATATTTACACTTATTTGGAATTTTAAATGCATTCCCAGACCCCAATTGAAACGGATGTACCCCATACTTCAATTGTATTATTGAAGATCAATTTTCTCGTATTTTCCTTGTTGCAATGTGATAAGTCCGTATTTAGACACGCATTTGATGTGTGTTCGGGTCGGATTTTGACGGTTTTCCTAGCTTTAAGGCGTTGCAACTCTCAATTTTGGCTCAAGCAGTGATTAACATGGTGTCCAATAATCAGTTTGGAGGGAGCCCTACAGAAGATCCAGTGGCACACATTACAAAATTCTTGAGGATGTGCCAAACTTTCAAGATCCCTGGGCTAGATGACGATCAGGTACGGATGTTATTGTTCCCTTTCTCATTGAGGGATGACGCGCATAGGTGGTTGGATAGCAATCCACATCACCACATTCAGACTTGGGATCAGCTGCACAAGGCCTTCATAAAAGAATATTTCCCAACATCAAAGGCCATAAAGCTGAAGAAGCAGCTGCAAGATTTCAAGCAAGGTTCGTTGGAAACATTGGCTGAGGCGTGGAAGAGATTTAAAGTGCTGAGAAGAGCTTGTCCTCAAGGCAAGATGACCAATAGTGAGATTTTTTTTTGCTTCTATAGCGGAATTAGTAATGAAGGGAAGATGATGCTTGATGCTTCGGGTGGAGGAGCTTTTCCTCAACTACCATCTGAGGTGGCAGAAGAATTAGTGGAGAAGATTGTTTCTAATAATGCTTCATGGTACAGCTCTCGGGACACACCTCACCAGAAGACC